CATCCCCATCCGAGATCGAGGCCCTCGCCGCCCAACACAGCCCCAAGAAGCTCCGCTTCGGGCCCAACATGGACATCATCAATAAGCCAGCTGACGAGACACGGGCCAGGGACAGGGCCGGGTTCGGGCTGATGGGAGGGCCCACCAACTTCATCGGCGGGTTTGGGGCATATCCAATGGGGGAGCTCGGGAGATTCGGGCCCGAGCAGCAACCGTTCCACGGAGGAGGTGGGCCTTATCCGGGCAATGGGGTCTCACTAACATTGGGCCTCCCGAACATTGGGGCCCACCAGACATTTATGCAGCCGGGCGGGCAGGGCATGCAGATGGGGGAGGCAGGTGACTTTGGGCAGACGAGCACAAACGTGTACGAGAGCATAAGCATTCAGGACAGGAAGAGGTTCGCGGCCCAGCTGTTGCCCGACTTTGTGGCTTGAGACTCGGTTGGTTTGAGGAAAGTTTGTAGGTGTTATCGCACCACAAAAATCAAACTCACCCAAAATACCAACAGTAGGCTAGGCAAGAAAAAAGGAAGGGGATTCTTTTTTGCCAGGTAAAAGAGGTGTTATAGGTAGTGAATGTAGGTATATATTTATATGATTTTTATCCATTATATATGTATCTTAAATATGTATACGTTTAAGCAGAGCCGTATAGGGGTTCTTCGTTACGGACCACGATTCTTATAGGTATTCGATAGGGATATTGTCGGCGATTGTATATTAATTTTGTATTCTGCAGCAGAAAGGATAGATGATTGTGATCATGTAATATTGTGGAGAAAACTAGTTATTTTGGGTGGTATAGAAGAATAAAAGGAGTGGCTTTTTTAAGTATGTTGATATGTTTTTCTCTTTTTTCTTGTGTCTGAAAGGTTTGTTCTGCTGATGAATGTGCTTAAAAAAAGGTGTTTATGTGTAAAGCAGAGCAAATTTGTTCTTGGCAAAAATATTAAAGGCAGATTTTGATGAGTGAAAAGCAAATGCCAAAGTAAACATTAACTGATTCAGAATGACAATTGACATGCTTTAATCATTTGTATACGTTCCTAGATTTTCAACGTCCAATTATATTGTTGCTTGAAAACTTGATCAAATGACGAAAGGCATGAGCTAAACAATGTAACGGTTTTGCTATAGAGCCATCGGATGGCTCGACTTATGGAGCCATCCACAGTTATCCACAAATGGTGTACTGACACGTGTTCTGTAATAAATACACTTTGGACACGTATCAATACATAAAGTTATGCATGACTCTATAGAATTTCTGAATAATATTTGATTTTACATTTCGAACGCAAAAGATAATATGGCGAATGATAGCGGTTTTGCTCTGAAGCCATCACATGGCCCGATTTATGGAGTCATCCATAAATATTCACAAATGGTATACTGACACGTGTCCTGCAATAAATATACATTTTTTTTTTTGGTACAGGAATCTTCCGGTTTCTGGATCCACAGGGGAACCGACTAATCCGGAATCGAGCCGGGTAGGACCACAAGGGCGGCAAAGCTCTCCTTCAAGAGTTTTTAACACTGCAATAAATATACATTGGACATGTGTCAGTACATAGAGTTATGGGTGGCTCCATAAGGAGTCATTCGATGGCCATTTTCTTTCAAAAACTCGAGTTTTTGTGAGAGCTTTTAACTCATATTTTTTTTTTAATAAAAATGCTTATTGATGTTACATATGTCATGTTTTTGATTTTGAGAGCATGAATAATTTTATAAAAGAAGGATCGTGGCTACAATAAAACCGTTTCAAAAATAGATGGATCAAAGCTAGAATGAAGTTAAAAAATGATTAATGACTGTAAGTCGGTGCTTCCTACTGTCATATTAAATATTTGTAATTTTATTTTACTCTTAACTATAAATTTAAATCAATAGTGATATCTATATAAGATGAATAACTATAACATAATAAGTAAGTCATAGTTTTTGAATATATCCAATATGTATTAATATTTATTTATGCTAGAAACATATGGAACTGTAATTTAAAGAATAAAGGATAACAAATGTAAAGAAAAAAAAAATGGATATTTTTTACATGTTTATTTGCAAAAACTCTTACAAAAATTCTACATTCAAAATTTAACTATATATATATTCATAAACTAGTTTATAAACCAAAAAATACTGAAATCTATAAATTAATGATATATAAATAAACCAAACATAAACAAAAAATAAACAGCAATTGCAAAAAACTTTGGTAAAAATAAAAATAAATGAGATTTGAAGGTAAATATAGTAATTTTCTCAAAAAAAGTTGTTTACAATCACTTATCGCATGGGTTGTCTGCATGCTATGTTGGAGTATCACTTGTGAGTCGTCTCACATTGATTTGATAAAATTAATTCGTTTACTTTATAAGCTTACTAAGTTACTCCTTCCATCACCAATTTGTTTTGAGATACAACTTGCAACTAGACTCATTCTATTATGGTGCGCTTCACTGTGTGAGACCGCATCCCTGATATCCCGATTATCAAAATTTGTCATGGTTTTGGATACGAACCGGTCGAACCAGTCGGTTTACCTCGCCTAATAATAAGGCTATAGAGTATAGTTGTGATTTTCCTTTGCCTCTCTCTGTGTATTTGGTTCGAAAATGATTTAAACAATCAATGGCTGCGGCCCACCCTAGTTTGTAAAGCCTTATCCTGGAAGACTTCTTAATTTTACGCCTTTATAGCTATAGGCTGACGATGATGCCTATTGATAAGGACACAGGGACATTTCCATTTGAATTATTACAGAATTATTATTAACTACTGACTGACTACTTTCAAGTTCATGTTTTTACTTTTTACTTCATTGATTTACTAGGTGATAATATATGTTTGACCAAGTAATACTACCTCCTTTTTTAAATAAATGTCGTTTTAACTTTTTTGATTCATCCATTTTGCTATGTATCTAGACATTAATATGTCTAGATACATAGCAAAATGGATGAATCAAAAAAGTCAAAACGACATTTATTTAAAAAAGGAGGGAGTAAGAATTATTAACTCAACTGCTGCTGCAACTTTTTTAGGCTTTAAATTTGTCGAAATTTGGTTTGCTGTGTCTGAACCAGCTCAGTCAGTGGTCAAGAAAACATTAATTAGTGGATACCTGTCATTTTCCAAATCAACTTCATTTCAAGGTTTTTTTTTTTTTTTTTTTTTTGGAAATTAAAATTGGTGTATGAATGTTTGAAAAAACATAAATTTAAGTGCTGGAATATAACCGGGGTTCTACGAGTTTGATGAAGATCGTGTATCGAACAATTTGGATTTGTGAAAACCAGGGGCGAAGCCAGAAATTTTAGTTGAGGGGGTCGGGGGGTCTTACACGGTGTCTTATATAGATCCGCACTGCTGTCGGGGTCTTATTATTTTTTTAATGGGGTCTTACACGGTGAAATTTTGTTACGTACAAGTGGTTCAACGCAAAGCGTCGGTGTCGGACGACCCTAGCCAGTACAAGTAGCTTCGCTCCTGGTGAAAACCCGCACTAAATGGCTTATTAAGGCTACGTTTATATTTTATTTATGTTTCTCCAGACCCTAATTTTTTTTAGAAGTGCCATCATATAAGAATGGATGAAAGAAATAAGAATGAATTTGAACCATGACATCAGTCATGTCAATGGTTATGATTAAGTCAAACTATGGTCCATCATTAATGGCAATTTAGTAATTATTTGTTCATATTATGGTCAAATATGTGTATTTGACCAATAATAAAGGTAATATAGACATTAGGAGTGAGCGTGGGTCGATACGGTTCGGAGATTGATAAATCTCTAGAACCGTACCAAACTTCGGAGATCTCAAAATTCGATCTCCGGAACCATACCAAAAAGTCGGTTCGGTTCGGTTCAGAGATTTTTTTTTGGTTCGGTTCGGTTCTGTATTCGGGACTATTGGGACGGTTCGGTTCGGTATGGTTTGGTTCGAATTTTCGGAGATTTTTTATTTTTTAAAATTATTTTGAATGACTACCTAGTTATATTTTAATTTTTATATGATTTAAAAAAACAATATTCATCAATAATTCATCATATTGAAGATTTTATTTTGAAATCAATTCTAGAATTAACTCTAAATATTAGTTATTTAGTTTTTATATGCTTTATAAAACTAACATTCATCAGTATTTTTTCACATTAAAGATTTTATATTGAAATCAACTTTATAAGGAACTCTAAATTTTAGTTATAACTAAATTTGTGCAACTAATATTGAAATTTTGAAATTCAAATAAAATATAATATTTTTTTTTCTTAAAAAATATTCTGTAAAGTTTCATATTGTTTTAAATAATTATTTTATTTTATAATAGAAAAAAAATCAATTGTAGATCAAGTATTACTAAGTATTACTAAGCATGAAATTTAAGTGAAGGTGAATATTTATTACTATATTATATAGAATCAAAAATTGACATATAATATATTAATAACACATCTAATGTTATAATTCGGTTCTTAATTTCGGTTCTTCGGTTCGGTACAGTAC